CCCCGCCTGCCGCGTCACGGCGCGTTACCGTAATGAAAAGTTTCGCGTCAACCTTCACTCCAATCATACTTTTGTGTAGCGCGAGGCGTGACTTTTATTTTTTTACCTCATTCATCCACCTTTTATCGGATCGGATAAGTTTTTGAAAGTGGAGTGAGCGTGTATGCTTCTCCGGCACTCTTCGCAAAAGTTTTGCGGGATGCAAGCTCGACCCGGCTGCGACCTAAAATATCGTTATCGCGGCCATAGAAAGGGAATTATGAAAAACCGCTTTACTTTCCAGAATCTGCATATTCACTGTGTTCACTCCGTGTTCGATTGAGGTAACCCGTGCTATGGTTTTGATTAGATTCGGGTGCTATGATGATGACTTATTGTACCAGAGGGATTCAAATGCTTCCAGCCCTCGCCGCTCGCCCACCTGGTACGAAGTTGAAAGACTCCTCGAAACGAATGGGTGGGGGAAGGGGAGATGGCGAGGCGCGGGGAACGCGAAAGTGAGATTTGGAGTGATCTAGTAGTTGAATTGGAAACTCGCCTGCCGACTAGGAAGTTGGAGGGTCAAGTAGGGTGGGGTAGGGGAGGTCGGGGGGTGGCGGAGGTGATGGTATGGTGGCCGTGGTGGTGCCAGCACTCGGTTCGGTACACAGACAGACACGACGACGACGTGGAATGGGTCAAGGCTGAGTCCACTACACCCCCCAGCCCCTCCACCAAACACCCTTTACGCCTAAAGGTCACCGCAGTGCGACGCATCCCCGCGCAGCACTGCACACCAGCCAGCAAGGCTCGGCTCAGCTGGGAGCTCATCCAGCCGAAAGGCCAAAACTGCACCCGAAGGCTCAGAGAGCGCGCCGCCCCTCTATAAGGTAGAAGTTCGGATGGAACGACACGATTCGCGCGCCTCGACTTCCCCGTCGGTGGTGCGGTAGCAGAGCGAGGGGAGGCCCCCTCCTCCGCCCACCGCGGCCGTGACGGCCGTGACGGTGACCGTCACGCCACGGCAGCGCCAGGCGGCGGCGGCGGCGCCGCCGAGCCGTTTAGTCTTACGAACTCAAATGACAGTCGTCCGCGTCGCGCCGTGGCGTGGCGTGGCGCGGCGTGGCGTGGCGCGGCGCGGCGTGGCGTGGCGTGGCGTGGCACGGCATGGCGTGGCATGGCGTGGCGTAGCTTGGCGTGCCGTGTCGTCGCAGGACACTGGAAAGGAAAGAGCAGCGCTGCACCACGCGAGGTCGTGCCGCACTGTTGTTCCTTCAAACGCTTCCATTAATTTTTGTGTGTTTGAAATGTTTTTCTCTCTCACTCTCTCCCTCTCTCTCTCTTCCCCCTGAAAATACTAAACTTCAGAACCGCAAATTAGGAACCTCCGCGCGGCAACGGTGTGGTATATTATGCACCTCGTGAGACGTCTGGGAATAGAGTCATGTGCTTCAAATTGCGTGACACCCGCGTGTCGCGTTAGGCGCGCTGCAGTAGCGTCGTAATTTCGGGTGCCACCCGCTCTGATTGCGACGCGGGGGTTTTGGAGGCTCGGGGCGGGGG